CCTAATCCACCACTGGATTCGGCCATCTCAAATAATGGTAACGCTGGGGGGCAGTAAGTCTCCCTCATGTATCACCCCATGGAAAACTTGCACCCATGATTGATTCCAGGCACTGGTTCGCACGTAACTAGCTAAACTAAAACTTCATAAATAAATATCTCCTATGTGACTAAGTTCTCGTGCATGGTATCGTAATTAAATTTGCGGTAACATAACGATGGCAATATATCAGCAGGTGTCAGCTCGTTAGGTAAGCAACACTACTCAAGATGAAAATAAATGATATATTACCTTGATAAATTTGGAACGTTTTCTTTGCTCAATTCAACTTCGTGGTCGTCCGTAGAATTATACGCAGTTGCTCCACTTTCTTAAAAATGTAAAGGTAAATAAATTAATAAAATGTGTGAACAATTAAATGAACATTATAATTTCGATGTACAAATGGTGTTAGTATTATTGTGCTAATAAAATACTTTGTGTGAGAAAATTTGACCAAGGTCATATTTTACCACTGATAGTAGTGTACCAGTGGTACAGCAACAGCGCTATTAAGTATGAGGGGTATTAAATTCGATAATGTTCATGGTCGCACATAAAATGTTGATATTATTGGAGAATTTTTCCATATTTTCTCTCATTTTTGTACACAAATCATTTTTGTACACTCATCGTTTTTGTAAACAAAAACGATGTTTGCGACTTTCCATTCATTCGGTATGACACCTTGATGTAAAAATCTTGATCTATAATTATGAGAAAATTATGACATGTGCAATTTACATTTTACATTTCACATGTGAGAAGACACGTAAAATCATATGACATGTCCATTTTTGTAAGAGTTGTCTCAATATCATAAAGATAAGTACTTCTCCTAAGTCAATGTTCATATGAAATAACATCCATTAACATACCATCAAATTCTGTATCTTTTCTTTTACCTTGCGGACTAACGAACTCTATTCCAGATCTACGAAAATACATGTGAAATTTATCGTCGCAGCGTTTTGAGAGGGTGATAAAGGGTTGGGATCGCGGTTCACGTGAAGAAAAACTGCCACTTCACGTTTCGCATGCAAAAACTTAACCATTCCACGAAACAGGGTGTCCACCCTTTGACGAATGTGAAATTCAAGAACTTTTCCAGGACTTTCAAGTTCCAAGGCACTTTTCCAGTAAATTCAACGACCTAGAACTGGCAAAAATATTTGAAAATGGCACGGATTTGCCCAGCAAATAAGTCGCTTTATTCAGTAATTCTAATCAAAATCACTAAAGTTGGCACAGATAGAAGTTAAGGAAATTAATTCCAGGACTTTCAAGGACTTCTACTGATTTTCAAGGACTTTCCAGTCCTGGATTTTTTTTTCCAATACAAGGACCTTCCAGGATTTTCAAGGCCCCTGGACACCCTGATGAAAGCTGAAAGCTCGACATTGAAAGTGTCTCAAATAAACCAACCAATATATTTAGTAAACATCAAGAAAATGTATATTTGCAGTAGATTCGCTATATCCAAAGCATTGCTCTTTTTCACGTTTGCACTTGTCACTGCTCGTCCGGTCTTTGTCCTACCGGCCTGAAATAAATTATCGTTCCCTGGACAAAAAATACCGACAATCACGGCTAGGCATGTAAATCATGTTTCACGACAGAAAACAAAGGTCGCGCGGTTTCGATTACCACTGACAGTGGTCATGAACAAGCAAATTTTTCAGCTTGCTCGTGGTAGACCCACCTGAGTGTAGAACACCAGAAACAAAAAAATCAAGATCGTAAAAACACACTGATATCGAAGGAACTAGACTGAGCTCCGAAATATCACCCACTCGAACCGACTTGACCTCGTAGCTCAGTTGGTATACAGCACTGGACTAGCAAACCAAAGGTCGCGGGTTCGACTCCCACCGTGGTCAAGCAAACTTTTCAGCTTGCCCGGTGTTTGACACACTCAGAGACAACATCACAAACATATATCTTCACCTGAGTGCATACACCTAAGCCTGAAAGTAAGTGTCTGGTACCAAATATTGGTGCCTGACACTGAACATTTTGTGCTTGACAAAAAAAATATCAACGCAATAAAGCAAATATAGTTTTTCGTGGTCCTTGAAATAAAAGAAGCCAATAAAAAGCATAGTAACAACAATTAAGCCACTAGTCAATTATATCATACGGAATCGAACTATTATATAAATTTCACAACATTTTCACAGGCATATTGTCTGAATATTCACACGCGAGGACACACACATAATTTTTGAAATGCGAAAAGCAAATATTTTGAAATATTAATTTTTTATAATGAAATTTTTAATGCCAGTTGTACACAGTTTCACCAATAGTTGTATTAATATGCTGCCGGACAAACTGTCTGGCAAAAAAACATGCAGTTGTGCCGGATAATTGCCTTTTCGTACCGTACATTGGTTTTGAGCGCGTATGCGCAATATGACAATATACGAAATCTCCACTTAAAGTCACTATCAGACTCGAGGAAAAGAAGCTAAAAGAGTATTGAAATTATTGAATAAATACATCACCTTCTATAGTATTCACGAACTTGGTCAGCTAAGACAGAATTTTCTAGCTGCATAATTTTCTCCAAACATGATTTTCTATACGAAGCGACACCAAACAATAATCCACCCGTAAATGACACTGCAATGAAATTTTATTTAAAGATTTATTTATTATAAAGTTTAGTGTCCTTATGATGAACTTGCAACCAGAAGACAAAAATGTAACTATAAAATTTTCTTATATAACTTTCAAAAAGGCATTAATAATTCATGAGGAAAACACAAGGAAAAATCATAAGCGTGTCGTATCTTTATAAGTGATAGATATTTCCCTTGATTTACATAAACTTTAACTTTGATTTTCTAGACTTACACAACGTATTTTTTGAAAAATTAATTCGCCAATGAACTTACTATAGATCGATCGTTTTTGAAGCAATTTAAAACATTCGCAGTGCGTGTTTTATCAGACCTAAAGATACTCGGCTAAAGATACTCGGCTAAAGATACTCGGCTTCGCCTCCTATCTTTATATCTGATTAAACACTGTTGCTCATGTTTTAAATAGTACATAATAGCTGGAAATCTGGCAAGACAATACTGTGAACGAAACAATATTAAGGTTGGTTTGTATGATTACGGACCGTCTGGCTGTGCAATACACCCTTTCGATAATTACGTCATTTGGCCTGGGAGCCTCGCTCTCATGAATCGGAGTCGATCACGTTGCGTAATTTACTGATGAGAGCGAGGCTCCAGGACCGAAAAGTTTGTGTGACGTAATTATCGAAAGAGTGTATTGAAGCAAATGTGTTAAATTTATGTAGGTCTCATTTTGAACTGAAGGTACAAATGTTAGAAATACACTCCACGTAGCTCGGGTGCGGGCAGGAGTTGTCATACATATGAAAAACTAACAAAAAATATATATTTAGGGGGAAAACTATATAGTGCAAACGTTCAGTCGTTCTACTGTACAAGCTGTTGGCCAAGACTGTAACCGGTTTGAGAGTAAATAAGTTTTCAGAGCCAAAGTCGCTTTACTATCAGTGGCATCACCCTATCTGGAAAACTCTCTGAAGCCTGTGGGATCCAGGGTAGAGTTCGTAGGGAAAAGACAAAATACTACAAAATACTGATGGAACTTTCCACATTTACCTCCATAATAAAACCGCGACCAGTAAGTTAAATGAGGGAATCTACCTATATAGCATCAGTGAAAATATGTCAGTAAGTGAAAATAGGTTAGTAAAAATTTATCAGCAATTCTATACTGTCACGTGTCTACTCTCATTAAATAAAGTTTTCATTCATTCATTCAGAACATGAATGAATACCTCAGCTGGTAGATCGACCCATATTTTGAATTGTTGGGTAGTTACTCTACATCGTCTGTTATTGTATTTAATGGTAAAAGCAACATACGACCATGAATATAACTAAAACTACGTGAGTATAAAATTCACGCTTCCGGAAAATACGTCAACTGGACTATAGAGCCTCGTCCTCATGATTGAGACATTTGGATTCAGCTAATATCACATACACGGCCGCCAACGTGACGTACTTTCCGGAAGGGTATATTACATGAAACTTCCAGGCCAATAGACAACTTGCATGTTAGACTAAGTTTTTGATCTAGCCAAAGAACTTAATAAGATTAGTAAGTAAAATTGCAAAATTTGGTTACGAAATGTCGTGAAATACAAAAAAATATAGCCTTGCGAAGTTTGCATATTTTGTATATGTTTGTATTACGTTATTGTTACCATTTTTGAGCCGAAAGTTTCCGAACGTAATACAAACCTATACAAAATTTGCAAACTTTGACTATATTTTCCAAGCTTTACTACATTTCGCAACCAAATTTTGCAGTTTTACTAATTTCATTATGTTCTTTTTAGCTGTGGTGTTTGATTCCCTTCTCTTTACTTAGATTAAAATTTAGTCCAACATAAGTTGTCCATTACCAAATGATTATGATAAACACGCATTTCTTAGTTGTGAAGGGGGTAAGCCTAATAGAGGGAGGAGAACTTAAGAAATTGCTTCTTCTCAAAAGGGAAGACTTGGCAGAGTGGATTGCTTAAATTTCTATTAATGGGTTTTTGAATGGTTTTTAAAGATTTTCCATGTATCAATGTAAAAACTGAGCTTATACCATCATTGGTTATTATACACTAATTCCCATATGATAAATTGGTAAACACGAGATGTTTAATATATACCATTAAGGTATGTTCCTGTACAAAGTACCATTAATGGTAAATACTAATTAAAACCAATAATGGTAAGACTTCAGTTTTTACATTTGAAAACCCCTTAATGGAAAGTTCAATTTTTTCCTGTTTATTTGACAACATATAACCACCTCCTACAAGTTCCTGAAAGTCTTAGTTCTATATATCGCTAAACTCATAGCCTACTGATGCATTCATGGTTGAAAAATATTAAATCTTTGTTACGAAGTCATTCAGCTATTGTTGAAAGTCTTTCTGAAATTATTGGGAGGGGGGGGGGGGGGGGTTGCCACTTCACCAGTCCCCCACCAATGAAATTGGATAGCACTCACCACTTCTGACAGCAAAACTGGTTAGGATGGCCGACAGAATCCCAGCAGGAACACCTGTGATTGAATAATTACTTGAAATAAAAACGAACTAAATTTTTTTTTGCTGCCATTTTGAAGACAACCAGAAATGTCATAACACAAAAATACAAAATGATAACTTGGGAGCGAGAACTTCCTGATAACTTCGGGACAAGATGAGCTGTGAATAAATTGTTAAAGTGCCACTGTAACCCCAAATATGATTTTTGGTAATGTGCAATATTTGGTTCATTTAGTTCATAACTACAGTAGTAAAAAAAAATCATCCTGCTCAAATTTTCACTGTCAAAGTTGCCAGATATGATGTTATTTGTTGAATTGTAAATTTAGTTCTCCTTTGTTTTTTGCTGAATTCACCTAAATCCTAATGACATCATATCCATGAGTGACTACAAGAGTGAAAAAATTGATCAAGATGAGGTTTTTTACCATAAAGATATATTACATTTCTTCTTGAAATGACCCAAATATTGCCCATCACATTTGGGGTTAGTAGTACTTTAAGGTAATAGTAGTACTTTAAGGTAATAGTAGTACTTTAAGGTAATAGTAGTACTTTAAGGTAATAGTAGTATCATTTTCAAGATACTTTCAAGTGATGCAGAAAATCGCTGAGAAAATGTTGTGTCATGCATGTGCACATTAAATACCGGCATCAAATTTATTTTTGAAATTTTTTGTTGGTCTAGATTGTAAATGGAGACAATTCAAAATGGGTGTGTTATAATAATCTGGCCTAATATGAACCCATTAAGTTGCATTGAGCACCAGACAATTTTACCTTTCAAGGGGAGAGCTCTGGCACTCGATCAATGGGTTAAACAGACTATCTGCTAGGGTTGGACAATATTTCGATATTTTGATAACGTGCCATGTTAACAGACAATTGTCACTTTGGACAATATATTTCCTTCTGATCTATGGATCCAGGATCCGATATCACCGCATTTACTAAATGAAGTACTCTGAAATACTGCTGACTACTTGAAACTTTGAGTTCCGCAAATTCTGCTTTCATTGTTACATGAGCATGTATCCCATTTCTTCATCAAACAATAACCGCCCGTAAATTAAAGATGTATGGTAAAACTGTACTTTTTTAGTGCATGCCCCCCCCCCCACACACACACACACACACACACACACAGGTATCTTGAACATTCGGAGCTTGTCTCATGCCTTTGGCAATCAGCAAGAGATTTGGGGTAGTGAAAAATTCGGTGGTGCACAAATATTTGACCAGTTATGTACGAGTCAAATCCAACCGCGATCAGCCCCCCCCCCGGGCAACCCCAGGGCATTTGACTTAACATTACCTCCGTATAGGCAGGAATTTGACGGCCCGGTCGGGCATTTGACGGCCCTGTCGGGCATTTGACCACTTGACAACAACTTGCTCAGCGGTTTTCCCTAAAAATGTGTACACTCTAGCGTTCAGGAGTTTTCTATTTTACGTCTTTTCGATAGTTTAAATATTGCTTCTGAATCACAAATATCAATTCAAGATATATGATACAATATGCCGATTGAACAAAAAGAACAGTCTGTCCTATTTTTCGTTCTTTTTAATCTTGAAATACTTGTTCAGTTTAATTTTGGCCAAAATTCCAGAACCAGGACTACCCCTATAGCAGGGCATTTGACTGTGGTTTCTGCCTGCTTGGGCGGGCATTTGACCAATTATTTTTTCAAAAGTCAAATTCCTGGGGGCTGCTGGGGCTGATCGCAGTTGGATTTGACTCGTACATTTGACAAACCAATAGTGCGAACAAAAAATGATAAACGTCCTTGTCTGCTGCACGAAAAAGTTACATCCCATACTGGTTTGACCAACATTTCGTGCCTGTGCGCATTTGACGGGCAAACCCCACAAATGCTCGACCCCCCTCTGGGACTTAACATTAAAATATGCACGCGCACCTCGGATCATGCTGTTGATTCGACATTCTCTCAACACTTTCCTTTCCTCTTCTGTTAGCTAAAAAGATTACAAATGTTTTAATGTTGAAGACACAATGCAAAATACGTACAATAATATGACTTACCTCCAAATGTTCTACATTTCTGTTTGTTCTTCGCCGACCATCAGCGTCCATCTTGAAATTCCAAAACAAAACAACTGCGCTTCCACTTTATAATCAAGATATTTCAGACAATAGATGTGAAAAATAGGAAATTGGAAAAATTGTTGCATTACTGCAGATCATTAGTTATTCGCATAATAAATCGTATAATGATTTGCTGTTATTTGTGTATTTAAATATGCTTTTGCAACGTTTTTACTCGTTAATTTTGCCCAACCCTGTCGTTCAAATAGCATATACCCAGCTAGTCGAAGTTTTGCACTACATTGGATCCACTTTAGACTCTGGTAAACAAACCGATATAATCTTCATGGACATGTCAAAGGCTTTTGACAAGGTCAGCCATACAGCTCTGATAAACAAACTCCAACAGTATAACATTGGCGGATCTCTTCTCCAATGGTTCACATCGTATCTACATGACCGCCAACAGCGCGTCACAACTCTTGGCGCTACTTCTTCCAAAAAACCAGTGTGCTCCGGTGTTCCGCAAGGCAGTATCTTAGGACCAATACTCTTCCTCCTGTATGTGAATGATTTACCAGACGCTGTGACGAACTCGACAGTTGCGTGTTTTGCAGACGACACCAAAATCTTCCGTAGAATTGACTCCATCACCGATGCTATGTTACTCCAGGACGACATCAATAACCTTCAATCCTGGTCCACGTCAAGCGGTCTCGTGTTTAACGAAGGAAAATGCAAAAGTATTAGCATTACCAGACGTAGTCAACCAATCCATCATCTATATAGCATCAAAGGCAAAGAACTTGCACTTATACCAGCAGAGAACGATCTGGGAATTTGGATTGCGAGCGATCTAACCTGGTCTAAACACATTTTAGACCGGTGTACCCGTGCCAACAAACTCCTTGGATTTATAAAGCGATGTTCTGGGGAAATAAGCGACGCGAGGACCCGCCGGACTCTGTATCTGTCTTTGGTTCGGTCGGTTTTTGGTTACTCGAGCCAGGTTTGGTCGCCTCAAACCGTGACCCTCATCCAACGTATGGAACGGGTCCAAAGAAGAGCAACGAAGTACATTTTAAACCTTCCGTACTTGTGCAGTGAGACTTATCGGGAACGACTTGCCAGTTTGGGTCTCTTACCGCTATCTTACTGGCACGAATATTTGGATCTCGTGTTCTTTTTTAAAGCGGTGAACGGCTTGGTCGACGTGTCCCATGACGTCCTCCCCGAAGTCATGTCCCAAACCAGAACGACCAGATCCTCCTTCCGTCCGGCCAAATGCAAAACCTCTACCTACCAACGCTCCTTCTTTATTCGTGCATCCAGAACTTGGAACTCTTTACCAACTACACTAAGATCTCCTGACATTAATATTAGGCAATTCAAAACCGATTTACAAACTTACTACCTGACAGCCCTGAGAGAATGCTTCGACGAAGAAGATCCGAGGACATGGAAGACTATTTGTCTGAAGTGTAACACTAGTCGTTACTTACGTTCTGAACTAACTTGTTGTTTTTAGTCTCCTGTCCATGTACTGTATATTATATATTCTGTACTGTATGTGTATTTTTGTATAGGGCCCACAGTAATTGGTTTACACTGTTGTGGTGTCCCTGCCATTTTTGTCCATGTTTATTGTGTAGATGTCTATTTGCTGTTCTGTTAAGTGTTTTTGGCAAAGTTTAACAAATAAATAAATAAATATAATTAATAAGTATATGTCGATATATAGCGGTTAACCCTTCAAAATAACACTCTCTATGCAGTGTGCATTGGATACACAAAATCTGTCGCCTCCATTTCCAATCACGTGAAAATGGGCAGTGTCACGTGTCTGTTCTGGCTGCGGCCCTACTCGAAAATCGGGGTAGTCAAAGTTCAGAACAGTCATGTGACTGTCTTCTGTTTCATTCCAATCGTGTTCCGAAAATCCGGAGTACTCCGAACAGTAAATGGAGCAGCTAGCTTGCCGTAGTGTCCGACGCGCTGCCATGCATCAAAAATGTCCTTCACATACTTACTTAAAGTGGCACTGACATCAAAATTTTAATTTTCTTAAACGAAAATGCATGGTAACTTGTTTTGAAGATTTTTGTTCCATGCTTAGTTCTTGAGATATTTCATTTTGTTTGTAACCATGTGACGTCATCTACTCAATTACATATATAATGAGATATCAGTAATTGTTGTGTATCTTTGCTCTTTTTTATCAAAATCTTTCGAAAGATGCGCGCGTTTGTTAATTTAACCTACATCATTAAGCATAACTGTTTTTTTTAAATAAATTCATCAAAAATAGCAAAGATACTCAACAATTACTGATATCTCATTATATATGTAATTGCGTAAATGACGTCACATTGTTACAAACAAAACTAGAGGGCACTCAGAGACTGCATACCTCCGCCCCCATTGAATTTCGATCGTGTGAAATGCAACTAAGACAATAGATAATGAAGGCTGAAGCTTAATTAATCAGGTTTATCATCTCATTATTGTCTTATTGTCTTAGTACTAATTACGTCCTAATTACGCATTCCGTGATTTTTTTTTAATTGACCGGGAAAAGCAAGACAAAATTTTGTTCATTTCTCGTTCAATTTTTAACCAGATTCAACCAAATTTTAATCAGTTCTTCCTTAGCCGATGGGAAATGCATTCAAAAAATTTTGTATGAATATGTTGGTATTTCTTGAGTTATCGTGCTCACAGACAAACACACACACATACGCACACACACACATACAAACCCAGATGATTACATAACCTCCTGGCGGAGGTAAAAACCCAGATGATTACATAACCTCCTGGCGGAGGTAATGAAATATCTCAAGAACTAAGCATCGGAACAAAAATCTTCAAAACAAGTTACCATACAGTTTTAAGAGCATTTTCGTTTAAGAGAAGAAAAATTTTGATGACAGTGCCACTTTAAACAGCAGTTTGCTAATCCTTTGCGGAATTAAGCCTGAGCACCAAGCAGCCCGGCGACTCGGCAATCCTGAAATAGGAATCTGTTGCAGTGCGTCCTGTACCACTGGTTAACAATAATAACAACATCTGGTAATTGGTTAATATATTAACTAAACATGCATATATTTCGATTTCGATCGATTACATGCATCAGACAGCAAGGAATTTGAGGCGCTCTCGTTCACGGATTTGTTTTTTAATTGCATTAGTCAGCCAAGGAATATTTGGCTTACTTTTGACTCTCTTTTCTCTAATTGGAGCATGCTTGTCTAGAACTGACAAAAAATGTTTTCCATGTTTCCCACATCGGCACATCTTGTCAACGCAGAAGTTAATACTAGATTCCCCTTATTACGCTTCGTAGCGCTTTTCATTGTGATTATAGTGATATCACTGATATTCAAGATGGCTTATTTTTTGTCCTGACCCGTGCAAGAACTTTTAAAAAAAGCTAGGGTCAGGTGCGCGATAGCCAACAGCAAAATATTCGCGAAAACATTCAATATTTTCATTCGAGGCCACTACCTTTATCAGTAATACCACTATAACCACAATGCAAAGCGCTACGAAAACGTAATAAGGGGAACATCAATTGCCCCACAGTTCCCATTCCCGGTTCATCGTCACGTGTGTACTCGCCGGAGAAACCAATAGCTCAGAATCTACATCAGTCCACGATAATCTTAATAAACACGACATCATCCTTGATGTACTGACGATTATTCAAGCTATCAAGAGGCATAAAGAGCGGGGAACCCGAAGCGATATTCATATCAGACTTCGGACGTTGAAAAGATGAACTTTGAGGATCTGAATTAAACGCATCGATCATGTGATCTCCATTGCCTTGATCCAACAGCATCATCGTGATCTTCTTTTGAAATGGCCAGCTTTGAAGAGCATCGTAGTCGCCTCGCGTCACAACGAAAAACAACGACAAATGCGATCCTTTTCCGAAACCATCCCCATTCAAATATATTTTAGCACACATCTTGTAACCATACTGAGCGCTGTAGAAAGGTGGACTGTACAAGGCCGTCTTCACTCCATTAATAGCATCTTGCCGTTTTCTCTGATAACTTTCAATCTTCCAGAGTAAAGTGCCATTATAACTGTGGATAGCTTGTTGTGCACGCGGACCTCTTCGAGAATCCAAATCGGTAATTTTGACTGTATTCAAAGCAAGAGACTCGTCCATTTGATCCATCCTACTTCGAAAATGATCAATAATTGAGATCTTATCTCTCACTTCTCGTTCTAAACTCATAGTCCGTTCACGTAAGTTGCCGCTTTCAGTAGTAAGGTCTCTAATTTTACTTTGTAGCTCATGCACTTCATTTCTAATCCTTGTATTACTCTCACCACTGGATTCCAAGCTTTCAATCCGTCTTTCCAAGCCAGTCAACTTCCCGACAACCATAACGAATTTCTCAGCTAAGCCAGAGCGAACCTCAATGATGTCGTCGCGAATTCTCTGCGACATCCCAGTATATTCTGAACGTGGGATGAAGTCGTTTAGTTGAGAAGCAACGGCAAGAGTATACCGCAGTAGTTGTGCACCATGATATATCAATCCATCATTCAAATGTTGGCGCAGTTCCTTTCGCTTCAAAGTCTACAAATTGTATCAAAGATGAATAACAAATTATAGAAGATTATTGGGCAGTTGAGCATTCGCTCACATCTTGTAGCAAGTCTGCCAACAAGTTGTGCTCCCACTGATTGTTCCAAGAGTTATATCAACAAGCATGGAACAACTTGTTAACAACTTGTAACAACATTGTTGATATTATTAGATTTGTTTGTTTTGCAAGGTTGTTCAAACAGGTCCGATACAGTCATGATATAACAATATTGTCAATTTACCTTGTAACATTCTTCTTATATCATGACTGTATCAGATTTGTTATAACAACCTTAATTGTAACAAGTCTAGCCCGCGTGCAGGCCCAAGGGAAGAATAGTGAGCCTGCAAGCAAGGCCCGGTATTTCGTACTTTCTGCGTTCGCCCAGAACGCGGCATTCTGATTGGCTGTTTGCTGTTGGATTCTATAATTAGATCTGAGATTCATCACAAAGGCTCTCGATAAGCTTAAAATTCGAAAATTGTAGGAAGAGATGGTTTTGCCGTTATGCCAATGGGGATTGCTTGTTGTGAAGTGTTGGAATAGCAACATTACGACTGGGGTAAACCAGTAAACTATAGTAACCTTTACTTGAGTTTCATTAATTTCAAACAGACTTGATACGTTATGTTCCTGAAGAAATTATCTTTTCGTTGATGTTGACTCATGATTTAGAGGAAGATTTAGAGGCAGTTGCATGTAAGCCTATTCGAAACGCTTTGAGATTTGCAAGGCTTCGCTGAGAAAGCGAAACAGAAGACGGTAATTGCCGTCTGAAACGAAACGATCTGGACTCTGAACGCTCTCTTCTTTTGTAGAGTTCTTTACCAAATGAAATAACTGAAATAAATTTCGTACCTTCCGCCGCCAACAAGAATTGCACACACGATGTGATAAGTGAGACAATTTATTTATAACAATGGGGACAGCGAAGCACACATTAGTGCTGGTATGGTCGCACGACTTCGCTCACGATTTGAAGTTTGAGACTGGTTTTCTGTTGAAATTCGTCCTAATTTGCCTGTTCCGATTTTAGTTGAAAATGAGCACTTGCAAATTTGGCAATTACTGACTGCGTTGCTTGCTTTCCTGGAGTTAAAACGCAGCCATTTACACATTGTTTATGTTCTGAATAAGCAGAGAAAACCCCCGCAACATTTTAATGCATTTAAAATATTTGGGTGCTGTCATTGGTTCTTTTTTGACAATTGACGCGCGAATGGGGCGTGTTATGAAAAGGGGCGTTTTACAAAATACCGGGTCTTGCTTGCAGGCCCACTATTGTTCCCTTGGGCCGGCACGCGGGCTAGCCGGTTTTCCACTTCAAGCGTACCGAAACGTATCAAAAACGTTTTTAAATTTCAAAATTTCGTGATTGTTGATTGGTTAGTACTTCCGTAGTACGCCAAAAAGTTGACTTACAACGAACTTTTTATTTTGATACGCGAATACATCCGGAAGTACGTGGATTTATAAACCTCTTTTCAATCTGCACATGCTCACCAGCACGTTTCGGTACGATACGGGCGAAGTGGAAAACCGGCTTTAGTCTTAACTATCAGATACATGAAAAACAGCAAACAACTTTTCATTACTCGTAATACTTGAAGTAAACGGTCACTGAAAAGCCCCAATGGAGAGCGAGCTGAATAATAATAATAATAATGTAATGTACTATTCCTGTTCATCAGTTTATGGCGAAGTCTGAAATGTGACATCTTTACACGCATTTATTCGAGTACATACGCCAGGATAAGAATCGGATACGACTGTACTAGTCGTATCGTGTCGATGAGCCTTAAGGGTAGAGGACTGGAAGTATGCCCCCCACCCGAAATTTTTTTTAGCCTTTTGAAGCCTCACTCGAGATCATTTTCCATGTTTTTTGAGAGGAATTATTATCAAAGTTGTGAAGTTAAAAATTCAAGATTTTGTAATGCACTTTATAACTTTTCACACTAAAAGAGCGAAATCACAAGTATGAATGAATTGGTTTTGTTCCTAGAAAACTTAAAATAAATTTATACCACTAACATCTCAGACTGGCCAGAGGTCTACTAAGGGCCATCCAACTAGAATATAGAAGAAGAGTTCTGAGGTAACTGGTGCGGGTTAAATGAGGTAAATCTTATTTATTTGTACTACTCATCCCTTACTGCCCATTGCTATCATCACAGTACGCGTAGAAACCTGAACTAAGCTTATACTGGATAGTTCTAATAAGGCGAAGGGACATCCTACATTGGTGCAAAGTTAGAACAGGAGGAACTGTAACAAAATTATCGAGAGAAAACCTGCGTGTGTCAACGAATGCAGCAAGTAACTATTTATTACCTTATCGTGGTTGCATCCTACATCTTGATACTCGCAAGTCGCCGGAACCTCATCGCAATCGCGTCTCTTGTGTCTTTCAATGTCTTTTCTCAAGACATCTTCCTTACAGTATCTGCAAGTCACGGGCGCATCTTCACAGATCGTATCAACATGTTCCTAGATGAACAGCGAGTCAAACTGAGTATACCGTACTGGTTCAAGGATAATTACGAGGTTTGATCGAGGTTAATTACATGACGACGTAACTTGCTGGATTGTTCGAACTGTTCTCAAAAGTTATTTATTTTTACTTACTTTCATCGAGGCAAAGGTGGCATCTTTCCCACAATAATCACACTTCACATTCCGATATTCACATTCCCTTTTCAAGTGTTCGGCCTGATGAGAGCGTTGGAATTTCATCTTGCATTGTGTATGGACACAGTTTATCAAACCATGTTCACAGACAGCAGAATGTCCCTAAATCACAAAGAAATTGTTCCATTATAAGTTGGATTGTCTTAATTTCATTTGTTGCTGCTATGTAAATGAGAGTCAACAACTTTCTTTCTTTCTCCCTCTCTCCTTCTACCACCCCAACTCACCTCGAGTGCTTCATAAGTGCCATGCCAAGCACAGCCTTGGTTGGTACAATGCAAACATAATCCATTGAGCTCACGTTTAGTGAAAGCATCGGGAAACACCTGAAAGAGATTAATATTAAACCATTTAAGCTCATGGTTCGAGTGATTTTCATTTTCAAATGCAGCTAAAACGTACATGTTTATGACAGCTGCAATAAATTTAAATAATTAAATTGGATGGATAACCTGATTGCAGAGATTGATGGGAAATTAGTTTTTAGTTTCAAAAATCAATGATCCAGTGATTTGTCCAAACAAACTGCCACTCCCCCAGCCAAATGTTGAGCTTGTGTCGTGCATGGTAAATTACCAAAAGTTAGTAAAAGTTATTGTTGGGGATGTGCACAACATTGAACTCGGGAAGAAAGGGTGATGAAATTTGTTTGTCAATGTACATCAACTTTGCAATGTTGACAGAAACGGTCTCGAGCGTTACGTCCACGATTGTAATTACCACTATTCTGATAATGTAACTATTAAGTATACATGTAACCAAACATTTGGGTATTATGCCCGCTGGCATCATTTAACATTTTTGTATGACTCAGATGCCTACCACGCTTGGAACAAAAGTGCCTGAATATAAATATGTAAATATGAACCACTCACTTGTTCTTTTTTCAGCACTGTACCATCTTCAGGACATCTTGAGTTTGAACTCCTGAATAATAAGAATAGTCTTCACAATATGGCACTGTTCAATAATTATACGATCTTAAGGATCAAGCTATCAAACCTCGTTTCATAAGCATCATGCTGCGTCTGTAGAGTGACAGGGGCACCAGATTCCCTTACGAAAATTTCCTATAGGAAAAATTCCTACAGGAATTTTGTCCCAAATTCTTATAGGAATTTTTCCTATAGGAATTTTTCCTATAGGAATTCCTATAGGAAAAATTCCTATAGGAATTTTTTCTACAGGAATTCCTATAAGAATTTAATAGGAAGAATTCCTATAAGAATTCTCAAGTCTAGTCCCAAATTATTATAGGAATTTCCTATATAAGAAAATAATTTATTCTAATTTCCTATAAGATTTTTGGTATTCCTGCAGAAATTCTAGAATCTAGATGAAATAATAGTAAATGACAGACAATGTTGTTCATCACTCTTAATTTTTTAATGCAAAAAATAGATACAAATATTAATATTGCAAATATAAAAATTAATATGAGAAATAAGAAATTGGTTATACTAAACATTACAAATCAATTATAGTTTTCACCTATTGTGACAAATTAATCGTTCTACCTCAATGCAATGCCATATGATGCGTCCTACTTTGTTATTTTACTCTGTCTAACTATTTTACTTTGTCTAATGCCAGACTATTTCACTCTGTCTAACTCCAGACAATTGTACTTGAATGTCAAGGGGAAATGCTGGCTCCAAATGGGTTAACTAGCCTATATTCCTATATATGTGTCTAGTAACTCTAGTTAACCCATTGAATCACATTGCGCCCTGATGCGCCCTACTTTATTATTTTACTATAGTTTACTCTGTCTAACGCCAGACGATTTTACTCGTCAGAGCGCTGGCGCTTAATGGGCTAAACCATTGGTAATAACCATAATTGACATTTAAAGTTAAGTTTAAAACTGGCCTCAAAACATAGTCCTCAAATAAGTTCTTGTTCTTGTTTGCTTTTCTGTACTTTGCAACACTTTCCCATGTTGTTTATATTTGTCCTCATATGTTGACGAACCTCTGAGGCCTTACATCCATACTTTGTTGATAGCTGTAAAAAGACAAATACATTTACTTTATGTCTACCATTCCAATGTGTTTTGTTAACCCCATTAAATATGCCCAAATGCACCCAATTTATTATTTTACTCTAAGTGGAGAGTCTAGCACTTTAATAGAATAAACACAGTAAAATAACAAAGTACTAAAAGTAGGGCACATTGCTTCTAAATATGCCACACAGCAGCTTTTGCAGTTAATTATTAACCATTCAATGACCAACATTCATTTTGATGAGTAAAATCATCTGATAAATATCAAAGTACTGAAAGTGGGGATTGAGTGTTAGGGTGAATTGCATCTAAATGTGCTAACGCCAAATAATGCAAAATAGTCTGGTATTAACAGGGCAAAATATTGAGCTTTGAAACAGAGCGCATTAGTGTGAATTTGTGAATTGGGTCTTAATGAGTTTACACAAAACACAGGGAGACAGCAAGGTAACCTATCAAAGTTGTCCACTCTCTTTCAAGTAAAATGATCTGGTGTTAGACAAGGTAAAATAAAAAAGTACTGAAAGTTGAGCACATTCATCTTAACAAGTTAGCATGAAATGTAAGCTAGCAGAGAGTCTGGTTAATTTGAATACCATCACATAGTTACTGTTTATATAATACCTTACTGAATTCTAATCGTTTAATTGGCTGTTTATGGTCACGTGATATTGAATAGAAAATTCCATTTCCCAAGAGTGCAATGGAATACGTTCCATTGCACTCTCTGCGAGTGCAATGGAATAAAACGTATAGTACAATTGCACTCTTTGTGTTTTAGATAAATCGCATCCCTCAAAATGCTTCTCATACGAATCTATTAGTCTATTTTTGTATTATATAAAACAAATAATGAATGTTTCTTCGTGCAATGGTAAGAATATTTTCATTCGGTGAAAGATGGAATGTTCCATTCAACTCGGCTGTCGCCTCGTTGAATGGAACATTCCATCTTTCACCTCATGAAAATATTCTTACCATTGCACTCATAAACATTCATTATTTGTATAATGTTTATAAACTGTGGTTTAATTAATAGAAAAACATGGATAATTTTCCTGGCATTACACTAAAGCATGTCTAAAGGCTAACAGATTTTAATACATTGACTGGTGCAAGACCTCTCAAAATGAAAATTGTTTAATTTAAACAAAACATATGAATAAATAC